AAAATAATAATAATTTATAAATTATCAAGGGTTCATGATGGAGGGGGGGTAAGGAGGGAGGGAAAAAATGAGGAGCTGATAGCGAGGGCTTAAGTAGAAACTAAGTTTTGAGAATGATGATGGCAACAAACGTACAAACGGGCCTGGCACAATGGATGGATGGATGGTGATAAGAGTTGTACGAGCCCCCAATAAAATGATTTAAAAAAAAGAGTTTACCCTTTCTCCAAGCCTTGGTTTCTCTTCTCCCTCTCATGAACCCCACCTTCCACTGCACCCATGTTAACACCTGTCAACCATCCAGCCTGCGGCTTCATCTTTCCTCCCTTGCCCTGCTAACGTGAAAGTCTGCGCCCCTTGGTATGAAAGTCTTTTCGTTGTGTTTTCTTTCCCCCTATAACAAGTCCATCTGTGCCATGAAGTGTTTCATGGCTTCACCATCATTTTTTAGTGATGCATGGTATTCCATTTTTAAACGTAAGACAAAAGCAAGAAAAATGGCACAGAGTGGAAAAGATACATCTACTATTACAATCAAGACGGAAGCCCATCAGTCCTGTCTCAAACGGAAAACAACCTTGATTTGTTTGCAAGTGTCTTTTCTGGAAAATAACTGATTATTGGTATTTTAGTTATCTAGGAGACCTGTGGAAAAATGGACTTAAAAGAAATGAACTGATTGTGGTGATGACTGTACTGAACCTGATGTGACTGAACTATTTGATTGTACGATATCTGAATGACATGCCCCAAAACTGTTGAAAAATAGAAAAGAAAAGGGAATTTTTTTTCATGAACATTTTGAGGCCACCTTGTAATCTACAAGTAGGTGGTTTTAAAATACATTTTTACTCTTCTGAACTTAAGAGGCTAAAGTCCAAATTGAGGGCAGTGGTTCTAGGGGAAGGTTCTCTTTGACTCTGGACAAGTTCCTGTCTTCGTTCAACATCCGTGGGCCCAACATTTTCTAAGAGGCTCACAGTGCAAGGACCCAACCGACACACTTTTTTCTCGGTGGTCCTCAATCTCTGGTCATGAAAAAAAATTTTTTTCTTTCATATCTCAAGAAAGACTGACCCAAGATACAACCTAACTCTATAGAGTGTAACCTGCACATCGATATATAAAACCTAAGTGTCCCTGAGTCAATTTTAACTCACAGTGACTCTAAAAGACAGGGTAGAACTGCCCTTGCGAGTTTCTGAGACTACAGATCTTGACAGGAGTAAAAAGCCTCATCTTTCTCCTAAGGAGCAATTGGTGGTTTCGAACTGCTGGCCTCTCAGGTAGCAGCCCAATAAATAACCGCTACGCCACCAGGACTTCTCACATGCAGAGATTAGGATTTACAACACAGAGGTTAAGTGCATCGGATTACAAAAAGAGGGTTACTGTGCAACACTGGAATCCTGGGCTAGTGAAGTTGGTAACTATTTCTGGGGGGCACAATTCAGTCCATAACACAGGGCATAACTGAGAAAGGCCTTGATACCTTTTCCTCTAGTATTACTCAACTAAAAGGAAGAGTCTCAGTCTCCTATGCAGTTCAAGAATCCCTGGCTTGGAAAAAGAGTTTTAATGGTAAATGTTGTGGCTAAAAAGAAATCTCCCCGAAGGCTTAAAAGGGTGTAGAGCTAGAGCAGTAGCTCATTATTCAATGACATCTGGGTAGCGTCTTTTGGAATACTGTGAAACAAATCCAGACAAGCAAAGGGCAGAATGTCTCGGGTGGAGGAGAACAAGGATGAGTCATGCTTTATTCTGTTCTATTCAAGGCGGTACCAGAGCCTTCCCCTCTCACTCAGCATAAATGGCTTTGCAGATTACAGAACCCAAATATGGAACAATGAGCTTCTGCTGTGGTCATGCTCATTAATGGAGAGAGTGTAACAACGTCATTAATTCCTGGCGACAGGGCAGTGACGGACAAAGAGAATGGTCAAGGGCTGGCACTCCAGGTTGGTCTCAGAGGGAAGAGCGGGCAGGGAAACAGGAACTCTGTTTAGAACAACAGGACTCCAGTTCTCACTTGCTCCTTTAGAATCTGTCCCGAGATCCTATGTTTCCATTGGCCACAATCATCCATTAAAAAAAAATCATGATCTTACATTTGACAAGGCTATACATGGGGAAAGGATACTGTTTACAGGTATTAGGGGACAAACCTAGATTCTAAGCCTATTCATGTCCCAAGCCAACTATGTTATCCAGGACATTTCGATCTTTCTGGGTCTCAAGAAAAAGCGAACAAACAAAAACGAGTGGGTGTAAGGAGGTGAGTTACAACCTATGGACTAATGCTTCTTCTGAAGCCAGCTTCCAATGATTCTTTGAATGTGCTTTCGAAGTCACTGTTCTTTCTGCAGTCCAGGCAGCCTTCACTGTGGCCGATTCTTACAGTATTTCACCTCGACTCCACCGAAGCAGGTCTGCAGTCTCTAACTCCACCACCATCACGACTGCAAGAAGTTGTCCCAGCTCCTTAGGCCTTCCTTTTCTTCCTAACAACCCCAGACCACATCCTCTAGGTGCTGCCCTTTATTGTCAGCCTGAGCTCCACCCACTATCCCAGCCAGGACATCACCATTTACACCCCCACCCCCACCCCCACCCCCAGCTTCTCTTCCCCTCCTCTTCCCTCCAGCTGGAGGACACTGGAGCTCTCCTGCCACTTCCCACCCCTCAACTGTCTGCCACTTGTCCTTCGCATCCAAAAAGGCACCACCCTTGACAAAGAGTGGGACCACGCAAGAGAGAGCAAAAAGAAAAGAGAAAAAGAACTTCTGATCCTATTCCCAACGTTTTTGTTCTATGAAACGAGTGTCATCTGGCACATAGTAAGACCTCAATGCCAGTGAATATAATAGCATTCCCTAAGCAAACTCTGAAAGCCCTTATTTTTGTTAAACACACACACACACACACACACGCACACGCACACAGCACTTCTGCTCTGCCTTTCTTGTGGCCACAATGGGTTAAACTGCTTGTCTGGGGCCCAGCCCAGCCAGACTTCACAGCCCTGTGTGGCATTGTTTCTATAGGAAAATGTCTGAGTGCCAAACAAATGACTTGCTAAATGACCTTTAAAAACTACCTTTCCTTCCTCAGAAAGCACTTCTAAACTTGGGAAATTAAAAAGTCTGGTAGACAAAAGAAACCAAAGAGCAGCCACCTATGGCTGTACCACAGTTGTACATAATACATGATCTTATCGAGAATTGTATCTAAATAGCATTCATATGCAGTTATGTAAAGATTTAAGTTGTTCATCATCGAATTGATTTTTCTTTTCTTTTTAAAAATTATTTCTGCTTTCTTTCTTTTTTTAATCACTTTATTAGGGGCTCATACAACTCTTATCACAATCCATACATACATCAATTGTGTAAAGGACATTTGTACATTCATTGCCCTCATCATTCTCAATAACATTTGCTCTTCACCTAAGCCCCTGGCATCAGCTCCTCATTTTGCCCTTCTCTCCCCACGAATTGATTTTTCACACAAGAGCACACACCACTCTGATTTTTCATTTACACTATGGGTTCAACCTCTCCAGTCCACACCCCCACCTCCACCCCACCCATGTTCCTAATTCTCATGCTTATCTGAGAAAAGAGTTTTAGTAGTGGTGAGAACAAATACAAAGGATATGCAGACCACATGGTAACACTTGAGGATCAAGAAAAACAGACTTGGAAAAGGGATACAAAATGCACGGAAGAGTTAAATACAGACAGTGTATCACCCTACAACATTTTTTCAAGAAGAAAAAAAAAGCGTGTACTCACGGTTACAGAAATCTACCCTCCTCTTTCTGACACTCTTTCTCTGCACAAGAAGCAATTCTTGAGCACTTGCTCTGTACAAAAAAACCCCAAACTATCTCACTGCCACTGAGCCAATGCTGACTCACAAAGACCCTATGACCCTATGAGTTTCCCCCGTGGGTTTCCAAGAGTGTAATTCTTTAGGGAGTAGAAAGCCTTGTCTTTCATAGTTTCGAACTGCTAACCTTATAGTTAACAGCCCAATGTGTAACCACTATGCCACTCAAGGCCCTGTAGAGAGTGGTGGGAAAATCAGACACAGTCATCTAATCTGAGAATAATCCCATAAGAATCACTGGCACAGACACGGTATTTGGTGAGGAACTTGGGCTAATAGATGGAAGAGAATTAGTCAACGATGGTCACGAAACAGGTAGCAGACACTCACTTAGAAGAGGATGTTCAATAAGAATCTAAAAATAGGAGCCAGCAAGACAGAAGGTAAAGCAGGCTTCAAACGGCTTGAATAAAAATGGAATTAAACAATAGTGTTCATTCATTTCTCCACTTTTTAAAAAAACTTTTAATTGTGAATGAGGTGGAGGTTACGACGAGAGGATTTGGTTTGCTGAGCTGGAGTGCTTGGGACTGACAGCTCATGTCATACGGCGATGAAATAAACACCCCGTCCTGTCCTCCACTCCTGTACCCCTACCACCCGCAAAAAACCCCAAAAAACCTGCCATCAAGTTGATTCCAACTCATAGAGCAAAGCAGAACCGCTCTTTTGGGTTTCTGCTAAGCTGTAACTCTTTGCAGGAGTAGAAAGTCTCATCTTTTTCCATGGAGTGGCTGCTTTCGATATGTCGACCTTGGAGCTAGCAGCCACATCCGTAGCCCACCACACCACCAGGTGAGGAAGTAGGAAAGTGAATCGAACGGTTGTAAATGGAGAGCCTTGTTACGGCATCCGATCTAAGACTGTTACCCACATTATGCCTACTTAAGATATCACTGACCTGACAGATACCAGCAGTATGCTCTCTGCTACTTCAATATAATCTCTGAGACTGAACTTCACAGTGAAGAAAGGTGGCTTTGGAAGGGGGAGAGGGCTGGGGAAGGAAAGGAAAGGAAGAGGAGGGGAGATACCTTTACACTTCTGCCAGCTTGACTCACCTCATAGAAGAGTCCCTCTGGGAACTGCTGGAAGCACTGGGCACAGACAAAGCACTGCTCGTGGTACAGCTCGCCATTACTGTTCACGATCTTCTCGGCGGGGGCAAAGCCCCCCTTACAGCGCTCACAAGTAGCATTGGCCAGGGCATTGGCCATGTTGCTGCAACACACAAGGACAGAAAGTCACAGATGATCAACCCTTTCTTAGATGCAAGACAAGAAACCAGCACAAGGAATTGAGTAAATTCTATCTGATCATAAAAGACATGTTTTAAACATAAAGGGTTTTTTTCTTGTATTAATTAAGCACTCTTAACTCAAATTGTTCCAGTGTCTATTCCACCCAGCACCTTAGGTTCTGAAATGGTCTCCTGTTTTGACTCTGATTTTCTCTTACTTTGGCCTTCTTGAGTGCCTACTATGTGCTAGGCTCATAGGGCTAAAGAACCAACCAATGTGCCCTCAGGGACCAACAGCTTAATGAACATACACACAAGTCAGTTTCCCAAAACCAGTCTCTATCTTTCTGAGAACAGAAAGAAAACTGCAGGTCAACTGGATGCCCTGTCATATCTTAGGTATGACTTATCTTTGCTATTAAATCTTTTCAAAAGCAACTGGTTAAGTCACCCATACATTCAGTCAAGATGTCCTAGTCCTATTAGGAATGGCCAAGACAAGCAGTGGCCACCATTACTGCATCTTAACATCACAGGATTTGACATTGTAATGACCGCTTTACAGATGGATGGAGGGTCAGAGAAGAAAAGTGACGAGCCGATGTCACTAAGCTATTAGAAATGGAAAACTGGAATCCAGGTCCCTCCGCTCACAGACCTACAACAGCAATCACTTGATTATAGTATCAAAAAAAAAAAAAGATTATATTACCTATTTCCAATACATGAAAGGACAGGGTAAGATAAGCCATCGTGCTTGATTTTGACAAATCAAGGATGTGAAAATAGGGTAGCTGACTCGTCATTCCAACGGTGATTCCCAGGGCTCCAAACCAATTCATTCTGGTTTAACACCCTGTTGAGAACATGCCTTTAACAAATCCCCAGGTGATTATAACTGCACACAGATTCCACTATGCCTTAAAACTCTCACTCCCCCTCCCCCCCAATAGATGGAATAAATGTCCCAAATTCTACCCAACTACTGCAAGGTCTGGAAGTAAAAAACAAAATGGCTTTAAAAAAAAAACACTTAAAAAAAGAAAGGAATAGATAATTATTTAATCTCCCGTATACTTCCTGGATTTTACTAAAGAACTGTCGCTTCTCCAAGACCTCCAAGTGGAGCAGCTCCCCTGGCAGAGCAGCCCAGCGCTGGCCTCTCTGTCCTTGGTAATTTCACAAAGGTTTGGGGTTAGCTGTTTTCAGATCCGTGCTCACAAATCAAAAGCTCTGATGCCCACAGCTCGTCCCCAGGTTCTACTTCTGACTTCCCAGATACTGAATGCACCCACCTTGTAAAAACAACCACCCACACCTATCTGAATCTTCATACAGAGCCCTGTGAGGTAGGTGAAACAGGAAGTCTCCATGTCACAGACAGATCAGCTGCCTACCTTGTGACCACCTCTATGTTTTACTGTCTCTTCACGGAATTGTAACCACCAATGTGAAAGTGGTCACACAAAAAAGGATTCCTGCTTTGCAGCCTTAGCCTAAGAACTTCAGGCAGAAATACCACGTCCACCACCCTGTATCCATCAAAAACCCTATATCCATCAAGACTTGGAAATACAATTAAAAGGTTAGAAAAGGGAGGAGGAGGCAGCTGGGCAAACCTGACCAAGGCTTCGGGCAACCTATCTTTTCTGTTAAGGCTAGGGAACTCACCCCACTCCCCCACCCCCGGGTTACTTTCAATTATTGTGGATTGGAGAGAGAAATGCATAAAACAATTCTTCTTCAACTGGTTCCGTGGTAGTTTTAGCAAAGCTCTGAAAAACGTTCCTCTGACCCAAATCCACAAGCATCACGTAATGAAGAAGTAGGGCCAGTCCCACGCCTGGCCTCATTCGTTCTTCAGTACGGCTCTGAGAGCAGTAAGAAAAGCGTGTTGAACGGAAATACAGGGCCTTAGGGTTCACTCTAAGCCATCTCAAAAGAGCTGGAAAAGGACAACGCTCTGAAAGGTCCCAGTTTATTTTCACCTAGATGAGTAGTTCTCAAAGGGTGCAGTCACCCCTGCCTTTTGGGCTCTGGGAGTACCATGCTCCGTATTCAACTCCGTATCTGTGGGAGGCGGTATTCCCCTCACCCCTTTTCAACAGTTTTATTGGCATATAATTCATACATCATACAATTCAATGTTCAATCCTAAGAGTTGTACAGTGATCGTCTTTACTTTCATATTTTCTTTCCTCACTACCTCTATCATGGCCTTTTCAACAGGTTGAATACAGAAGCAGATATGCGAGAATCTCTTATTAAGATAAACATTAACAGAATTGCAAGACTATAAAATAATGCCTTTATTCTCTCTCATTTTTTTAAAATCGTTTTATTGGGGGCTCATACAGCTCTTATCACAATACATACATACATACATTGTGTCAAGCACATTTGTTCTCTCTCATTTTTTAAGGGGTGGTGGTGGTAATTTTCCATAAAGATACTACTGTTAACATGTAATCAATTTGCCATTTTTTAGTTAATTAATATTCTACAGTTTTCTCAGTCATAATTTCTAAGAAACTAAATAATGATAGGCAATATTGCCCCCAATGATTTTCACGTGAAAAGCGAATCTTAAAGTTCGATAACTACTGAATTGCTAACACTCTATTATATTATGCCGATGTTAGCTGCTATGGAGTTGATTCTCTGATTCACAGCAACCCCTGACACAACAGAATGGGGGGGTTGGGGGGGGGGGGTTGCACCATCTTCCTGATTGTGCACTTGACCCTGAGTTACAGCCACTGTGTACTTTATGTGCCTTCCAGGCCAGGGGCTCGTTTTCCATCCCAATGTTCTTGTGATCTGTGGGTTTACATCGGCAATTTAAAAATCTGTTTCGCCAAACCATTCTTCCTACTCTGACTTAATCTAGAAGCTTGGCTGAAACCTGTCAGTTATGCTACCAGTACTTCATTTTATTATATGCTATTCACATTCAAGTTCAAAATACTCAAATATGTAAATATTCCTTAACATCAGGAAACTAAGTGGACACATTACAAAAGCAATCACATAGTTATCCCACCCCCACATACACACAGAGAAAACAAACAAAAAAATAGAACGAGCTAGTTTCAGAGATATAATGTAGTATGCATATCAAGAAGCATTCCTTTTGATAACAAGCAAGAAAAAATAGTAACAGAAAACAAGAACATTAGAAGACAGACACATTCTAGGAAGAAGCAATATACTCTCACGACGTAACTGAGCCAATTACTGTTTCTTCTTTTCTTATCTTTGACCCTTCAATATTATGTGTGTATTTTATATATACATATATTTCATAATATATTAGTTAGCTTTATACTTATTATCTCCTAATTCTATTTTTCTATAAACATTTTAATCCATTTTATTATGGTGTTACCATATTGTTTTGTTCTTAACTTTTTACTGTAGTTTGAGCATGACTTTTTAATAGTCACGAATAGCCTCACAGAATTATACAAGCTGTTATTCAGTTTGTCAAAATTAGTTGTTAACTTTTCAGGAAAAGATTGTCACTAAAAAGTCTCGATGACAGTTAAGTGCACATGTGGCTTTAACAGGGGGCTTCAAAATGTGACACACACACAGAACTCACATACACATCTTTAGTCAAACATAACTGATTTAATTTATTTATTTTCACAAGTGAACCTTACACAGAAAATTTGGCATCATACAGTTTTCCATTTTTCAACGGATTTATTTTCTGTTTTTAAAATGCAACAATGTATAAATCCAAAAGTCACCTCAAAAATTCACTAGGTAGTTAAAATGTTAGTTACAGTATAGTGACAATTCCCACAGCTATTCATGAAATGTGAAAATACAGTACATCTGTTGCAGTATCACAGAGAATAGACTCATGGGAATGGAGAATTTTGTCAGTTACCTTTTCCTCACCCCTTTTGTGTCAAGTTTGGGATTTGTAATAGTCCTAGTTTACAACTTTCATTTAGGTCAACCATCTTACTCGGGCTGCTCTAAAAGGCTATCCTGTAGCACTATGCATTTTGTAAGTTTTTTGCTAAAATTAATTTAACAAAATCATTTAGACGAACCACTTATGAATTCTTTAACAGGTCCCCCTCTACACACACACACACACACACACATTTTTTCTTCTATTCAATCCTTTGACGACAGTAATTCTGACACTCAATTAACCCACTTCAAATCAGACTGTTAAGCATAACACAAAGGTAGTTCTTTATACGTAGTCTTTAAATAAAATTAATTGATTTCCCCAACCTCATCTCCCTCTACTTTTGTGAAGTTTTAAAGTACCAGTGTTTTCTATTATAAATCCTCTCAATGAAAATTCTGAAGCCCCCTTCTTTGAACGACATGGTAACGATGGTACTATTATCGGGGACCTGCAGCTATACAGAGGGAGGGTCATCATAAATCAGAACAGACGTAACAAGAATTTCTCCATCCACACAGATGACAAAGACTTCCTTGCTCTCACTTTTAAAGGAGCATCTTCCTTGAAGTCACATTTGTGCTTCCTCTATTGAAATGTCTTTACATGACAAAGCACCCTCCCCATCTCACAGAAAGGAAAACTACCACTGACATTAAAGTACATCGCACAGCATTGGCCAGGCCAGAAAGGACAGCGAAGGACAGCTCAAGAAAGCTAATCCAGAGGAGCCGTTCTCTGAGAGAGGAGACACTTACAATTTCGCATAAAAGTCACAAAACTCCTTGTAGACTTTTACGTCACTGTGCCTGCGCTGCAGTTTGGACACAGCCCTCTCGTCTTCGTGGCCATTAGCCTCGTGGGCATTGTTAAGGGCTGTCTGGGGCAGTTCTTCATGCTCTGGGATAGCACAGGGGCGCACTCTGCCAGGGAACGCCATCCTGGGGAGAGGCGGCCGGCTCTAAGCCCGGGGAAGTGAACCGAAGGACCCAGCAGCAGCAGCAGAAACAATATTGAGGACTCCCCCACTTCCCAGACAGGGGTCACTCCCACTATTCCCACATACGTCAGCCTGCCAGGCTGGCCAGGATCCCTGCTGGAACTTCAAGTTAAGAGCTCCGGCAGCTCAGCTCGGCAGGCAGCAGGCAGCCAGCGGGACAGCCCTGGAAAGCATTCCACAGAGGCATGGCATAGCCTTCGGAGGAGCAGCCTGCTCAGTGGAATGTGGCCATAAACACTACTGCGGCCAGAGAGGGCTCTACTTGTCAGGGTTGAGCAACCGAACCCTACACTTTTCAGCTTTGGTGGGCACACAAATCTTCTGGAGCACTTGTAAGGATGCCATCCCTCCCCCCAAACAACAACAACAACTCCATTTCTAATATGATGCTGCTGGTACCCTCTCTGCTGGGGAACCAGAAGCCCGAGCTCCCGTAATTCCAGGGCATACTTGCCATACAGGCTTTTTAGTCGCTTTCCTCTCATTTGTCTGAGTCTCTGAGATTAAGGGCGAGTTTTACTAGCACTCGGTACATACTGAGAGATCAACAACGTAGTTGAATGAAGACTTAAGTGGAAAAAGAAGTAAGTGTCAACCTTGTTTCTAGGATCTACAGCTGATAGAGACGCTGGGAGAAGCCATCAGAGTTGGCTGCGATGCAGCACAACCTGATGGACAACAGGATGAACAGTGAGAGTCTGACAAATGTCCCGTCTGAGGCCACTGCTGCAGCTGCGGTAAGGGCCCATCTTCTTGAGGGCCTTCTTTTTGACTGACCTTCCTACTTTACCAAGCATGAGGTCCCCCTCAGGGGCTGGTCCTTCCTGATAAGATGTCCCAAGTATGTGAGACAAAGCCTTCCCTTCCTCCCTTTTAAGGAGCATTCTAGCTGCGTTTCTTTCCAGGCAGATTGGCTTATTGTTCTAGCAGGTCTACGATACTTTCAATGGGCTTCGCAGGCACAATTCAAAGGCATCAATTCTTCTGTCTCCCTCATTCATTCCCACCTCTTGCATGCCTATGAGGCATTCGGAAATACCACGGTTGGGTAACTTAGGTGAGCCAAAGTTCTTAGTCTTTATCATTAAACTGAAAAACAAAACAAACCAAAACCCCTAATTCACTGCCATCATAGCAACCCTCCAGGGCAGGGTAGAACTGCCCCTGTGAGTGTTCTACGCTGCCGTTTTTTTTTATTTTTTATGGGGGTAGAAAGCCTAGTTTTTCTCTAGCAGTGCAGATGGTGGCTTCAAACTGCAGACCTTCAAGATCAAAGGCCAACACTTAACCACTACACCACCAGGGCCCTTTATCGTGGTTTAACAAGGCCAGAATCTGCCCAAGACAATCTAGAGCAGTGGTTCTCAACCTGTGGGTCAAAACCCCTTTGGGGGTCGAACAACCCTGTTTTCACAGGGGTTGCCTGATTCGTAACAGTAGCAAAGTTACAGTTATGAACTAGCAACGAAAATAATTTTATGGTTGGGGCCACCACAACATGAAGAAGTGAGGGCCACAGCATTAGGAAGGTTAAAAACCACTGTTCTGGAGCAATGGGAAAGGGAAAGATGATCCGCAGAGCAGGTCACTGTAGAGATAGGTCAGTCATGAAACCAGCAGCAAGGAGGGTAAGCTGTAACTGAGATTCATAGATGTAATTATAAATAATAGCTCTTGGAGTTACTAAGTGTTCACCGTTGAATCAAGTGCTCATCACGTCCCTTTGAGGGAGCTATTTTTATACAAGAGCAAAATGAGACACATTGGGAGTTGAATCAGTCCCTGTGGAGCCAACATTAACACCAGGTAGTCTGATTCTAGAATCTATGGTTTTCATGCCACTGGAAGAAACATTGTTAGAAACAATTAATGAGGAGCAAAATGGATAAGGGAATGGGGAGAAATGGGAGGAGAAGCAGAAAATGACACTAAGTCTACCTAATTTGACCCCAAAAGATCTCAGAGTTCAGGAACTCAAGTGCTGGGGGTTATCGAGCCTGCCCAGGACCAAAGTTTAAGGATAAAGAAGAGAGGGAGTTGCCGTTTTAAGTAGGCAAAAGACAACCTCATGGCTTTAATTTTTTTCCTTTTTTATTTCTTAGTTTTCCTTTAAATAATGAGCATGTAGAAAACAGAGGAGTTAGAGAAGCAGGGACAGACCGAGAATGATGGGCAGATACACACACAAACACACAGACTGTAGGCCAGAGACAGAATGCATGGACTTAGGGGAAGCATGGTAGAGGCATGTGGAGCGCCACACAAGGGCTTCCCCAAACTATTTTCTATTTACATTTCACCCGAGTCTCCTGTTTTCAAAACTCAAACTCAATGTTCATTCCCATGATCTTTGATTATCGTATCTGTATACTGGGATCAATTCCACAAACGGGAGCTTGTTCTCCCCAGGGAGAAGATTCTGGATAATAATTTCAGTAGTTCTAGGCAAAGAAATTTTTTTTTCTTGGACATAGAATAAGGAAGATCAAAGAAAAATCAATGCATTGAATTGTGGTACTGGAGAATAATACTGGAAGTCCCATGGACTGCTGAAGACAAACCCATTTGTCTCGGAAGAAGTACTGTCAGAGTGTTCTGTAGAGGCAAGGATGGCAAGATTCCGTCTTACATGCTCGGGACACGTTGTCAAGAGAGACCAATCCCTGAAGGAGGACATCAAGGTGGCAAAATGGAAAGGCAGCAAAAAAGAGGAAGGCGCTCAG